TTTTCGGCTTATCGTACTACAATATCTGTCCTAAAGCATGAGAAGTCATCGTGAGATTTAAAAATGCGGGAAAAGCCTACCTCTCATGGCTTTACGTTCGTCGCTAAATTTCGATACAGAGTCGATATAGATGCGTATCCAATTCGCAGGTACTTTTGCGCAGTTCTTGTTTTCTATTGGTTGCAGTTCGCATTTTTGCTATCGAGCGCCAAACATTAGGGTATTTAAATAATTATTCCCATTAGCTTCTGTTTTTGCATATTCTACTTAAAAATTCATTTTTATTTCCTCTGATATGACCCACCTATTACCTCCAGTTCCGTAGGACAGAATTCTGGGGCTTGGGATATTTAAGGCTGCCGAGAGGTGGTTAGTGAAGCAAAAAGTAGTGACAAGTTCGTATAGAAATTTACGACTAATAGACCAGAGAAAATACCCAGCAACATATAAATCATCAATTGTATGAAATATTCATTTGAAAAATCAAAGAAGGATGGTGAATATCCTTCATTTTGAGAGTGGAAATGCATTGGAGAGAAATAACTGTAAAAAGGTGGCTGAGCCACTTAAATGTTTGCTATCCTCTTCATAATTGAGGTTGCTAGGCCGTCCGTACATGAGAAGTGCAAACTATTTGTGTTGGGAATGCCTCCATTCCCACCATGAGCCATCACACAGAAAGGCACCCGCGCGAGCTGCCACACTGCACGTCATGAGAGCGTGCATCTGGACAGTGACTATCGATCTGTCGTCAGATTAGATTGGTCTCCGACACGTTCTCATCAAGCGGACCAATGAATATACCCATTCTCCTTTCAGAAATACTTGCTGCTTTTAAATACAGCTCTCCTCGTGGCCGATTGCCTTCTTTCTCTCTCCCGTAACGACTCTGGGAACAACAGTCAGACAAACCCGCAGTTCATGTTAATTATAACTACCAGGCGCGTGTCATAACAGTTTGAGCGTCGTTTAATTCACAGTTAGTTCGGAAAATATCAATGTTGATTCAAAATGTCTGGGAATATGGCAAAAGGGAGGTTAAGTCTGGACGTCAAAGTAAAGTGTTTAACGACGAGGATACTAAACGTCGCTATTTTAACAAATTTAGCGGAGGCCCTTAATTTTGTCAACCAAAGGCAAGATTTGAGGCAACTTTGGGGGGAACTGAAACTTCCCATAATCTGACTGAAAATTATTCTGCCAAAACAAACAGTAGGTAAAACGTATCACAGATGGCCTAGCGCAAATTTTTGGAGGATAAGAGTTAAGGTAAGGTTCTGAGCGAGGGTTAGCTTAGGACCCGGGAATGGGTTTAGACCCTGGAATTTAACGCAAAGCCTACTTTTATATGTGGAGGGGATCCCATTTCTGTCCCCTCTCATTATTGTTTCAAGAAGACGATTACATAATTCAATGGATACAATAATTTTTATTAGAAAATATTGCCCGCCGATCGAATCTTCTTCTCAATTACTTCTGTGTCAAGCAGTAGGTAAGTAGTAGCGATAGGGTGTGGGAAAGAAGTTACCGTGTCGAGGAGTTTATAATGGAAACTTTCATCAGATGTGAAAAATTTATCAGTCAGTGAAAAGGTATGCCGAATAATTCTGGTTCGCTGAAATGGGATACGAAAAGCGGTTCAAAATCGCACCTTCAGGTTGATTATGGACCAACTAGATTGTCCCTTAAGAGTGTCACGGACCATTGCACTTCAAAGTGTGATGGACCCTAAAGGATTTTGAAGAGTGGCCGCCGCATAGTTCTAAGAACAAAGGAACTTTCGTGATGAGTAGGAAGATAACAGGTGAAGATCCCGGTATCCGTTAAAAGAAAAAGGTTTTTACGAAAAAGGTTCTCATGACGGAATTTCAGAAGTTTGTTGTTTGACCCCCGGGCATTAGGCACAAAGGGAAAACTGATGTGTTCTGTCGTTACAACGTCCTTTTCGTTGCCTGAGTACTCCTAATTAACTATATTTTACATGCGATGAAATATGATTGCATAGTTTGAGAAAAGGCATGGCAGAATCAACGGCTGTTCAGGACGACGCTATATTGCAGGTGCGTTATGTAGCGCCTTTCATCAATTCCTAGCCTGAATGACTGTTGGCCTCCATTATACATTTTGGGTACTGGAATTTGAAGCACCTTGCTGACAACTAGTTCACGAATACATTAGGGATTTATTTCAACCTGATCAACAGATACGGCGCAGCAATGCGATAAGCTGTCTTCAGACCTGGCACAAGAATCAGACTGCTTATGTGAATATAGCCTATTATTAAATGTTGCAAAGAAGCATAGCATATTCACACTTTTGCTGGGATTTTCCTTCTAGCGTAACAATGTGTTTATGAAATTTGTATTTCCACTTTTCCTTCATTAACTTACAACTTACTTAAAAAGCAGATGCCGTGGGCCGTGCTATCAGGTCATTAGACAAATGAAAAGTTTCAACACTGAGGACGAACTTGGAGTGAATAAGGGACAACGGCTGCAAAAGTTGTCGGGTTGTGTGTTTAGGAGGACATACATATTTCCACTAAGTCACCGTACTGATCACCTTATAAGTAGCATAAACGCGTTCCCCCTCTAAGTCGCCCTGTAAATATACCCCTACGAACCGACCAGTACCTGACAGTTTTCCGGAGGGCAGCTCCACACAAATATCCTAATCGATGGCCTTCATCAGCCCCACAGAACTCAAAGTTAAAAATGATCAAAACCCTGATCTGCGCATTTAGGCGATTTTATGATGCAGAGGTCACTTATTTGACCAAAATATGTACAATTGCAAGAATATTTTTAGTTTGCCAATAGTAGAGAATATTCGAGTCCCAGGAAGCAGTTCAGAGGCATGGTCATGCGCAGATGACCTCATCTGCGCATGACCATGCCTATGTTTTCATCACTTAAGATTAAGGATTCCCAAGGGAATCCGAAACTTCAAGCAAATAAAACTCTTGTTCCAGTGCTTGCATCTTCTTCCTCTGAGTATTTTGAGTCTTTAAATGCGTATTCGCTTAAGTTAGAGCCATTAACTATTGATCAAAATTTTGTTCCACAACTGTTGGCAGGCTAGCGACTTTCTTTAGTATTTCACCCAATGTGCAATGTTTTTTTTTCATTGCAATAACACTGCGGGTGGGAGCCCACATGCTGGTTACAGTAGCGATTTTTAGTATTTTGCCGATGACTGACGTAAATACCCATATGACCGGGTGGGCCCGTGTGTACCCTAAATGTACTTGCACAGTCACGTGGACAGAAAACAGTTTAAGGAGACCCAGGGCGTGCCTTTACATGAAAAAGTTCGTGTTTGCTCACATGGCCAGATAAACTGCTGCGCTGTATAAAAAGCTTGCAGATGTGCATGCATTTAATATGTACGCTACAGAGTTTGATTGGGCGTTTCAGGTGCAATTTCTCCGATCGCACTGCTGCGGATCCACAGGCAATCGACCAGAGCGATGCGTTTTTGGGCGTTTGTGACGAAGTTCTCCTAGAAAAATCGTATTAAGACTGGCTAATCTGTTGTTTGCATTAAGTGTCTGGGCGGTAGTCGTTGACTTTAATTCAGTAAGGCTTAAATACACGAGATTTTGGTCACGTTATGAGCACCTCTGGGCCATAGCGACCCTTCAGAACCCTTCGTCCTTCGAACTGGTGTTCCACAAGGTAGTATCCTGCTGTCTATTCCGTTTAACTACTTAATTGACTAGTTTCTTGGGAAGGCTCTATGTGAAAGGGACGGTGTTGAGCTTGCACCTAGACGCCTGCGGACTGATGTGGACTACGCCGACGATATCGCTTTACTAGTCCCAAACTTTGGCAATCTACAGGTTGTAGTGTCACGGGTGAATGGGGTCGCTATGTCGGTGGGCTCGTCCAAAATTACGGGGAAAACTCAATTATTCTCGAACTGCATTCCTAGCACGCAGAAGACATCCCTGAGGATTAGTAGACAGCTTTATATACCTCGGGCGAGGCTGGTACCGACTGGACAAAGTAAAGACGACATTGTCTCCCGAATCGATGCTGCTCACCGGGTTTTCTCCATCCTTTGAAGGCGCATATGGATCCGACGCAACATTTCCGTCGCCAGGAAGATCGGTGTGTACCGGGAATTCATCATATCGGTCCTCCTTGATGGGTGTGAATGATGTGCTTTGCGCGTGGAAGATAAGCGTGGACTAAAGGTACTGATCTCCTGCCTGAGGACTACCCTTCGAGTGAAGTATACCGACTTCGTCTCAAATGACACAGTCTATATCCGCTGCGACAGTATCGTGGGGTTATCTCAGGCCATCCAAGAAAGGTGACAAAGGTGGTTTGAGCACAATTTCCGTCGTCCGCCTCATGAGCCTTGCTATGCTGCCCTCGATCCGGCGCCGCAGTCCACCTGGAGGCGTCGAAGAGGTGACTATTTAAAGACTTGGCACGACACCGTTCGTCAAGTCATGGAAGTAGTGTGTGGTCCCCCTATTATCGGTTTCCTTCGCTGGAGAAGATAATGAGGGTAGCTTTCCAGGTCCGCTGTTGCCAGTCGTCACGCATGAATAGGTACCGTGAGTGACATCACTGAGGCCGGCTAGATCACAGCCGTATCATGTGCAAAGTACACATAAATACATCACCAGCACGGATTGGTATATTAATAACAAACAGTGGCAGTCATGAGAATTTTTGTGCAATGCCGTGTGTGGTCTTACGAAGTGGCTATTCCAAAACTTTGAGGCTCCGACTTCAGGTTCATTACGAATAATTCAGTTATCTGAAATTGCACTAGATAAACCCTAAGGCGTCCTAATTCAGACAGATGAGAAGATGCTATCGTTGGTGTCACTTATTTATTTATCCCATAATCGTAAGTCCTCCAAGTTGGGATACCAACAAACCTATCACAACAATGTGAGGATGATGACTATGTCAAAAGCACAAACCCGATGGGCCTCTTAGGGTACAGCAACGAGGCCTCTCTGGAAATTAACTTTGCCACATATGAGCAGATCTAAGCTACGCAAAGGAACTTCCATATTTCTCCGCTACTTGCCGGAGTTGGCATCTAAGGCCTGTAAGCACAAATGCTTCCTCTTCAGCAGTGCAGACATGATTGAGTATTTCGGAGTCAACCTAAACTCAGTCCTCCTCGATATCCGCTTTATTGTGGAAGAAGAACAAATGGACTATCTGCTCCTCTGCCCTCCTAAATGCTCTATTCAGTAGCCACCCATGTGGTCAAAAAACAACAGCAGACCAAAGAAAAAGACGGGCACAACGCAGATCTTCTCTTTGATCCGATGCGTCACAAAAAGGAAACATGTATGCATGCTATATTACCGTGCAAACACCCATGAAAGCACTTCAGTTGCCGGGCGGACCGAACAGACCCACATCGTGGAGTAGTTTATACAGTATGGCGAGCGCTGTAAGCAACATGCCGCAATTTGAGAAAGACTAGTAATCACTCGCAAACTAACATTAAGTAGGATTGCAATATTGATTATCGCGCAGTTTAAGCTCAAGTCTTTTAAGTCACGCCACGATGCCGGCTCCTTAATGAGCTTCTTTCTGATCGCTTACAGAAAATAGATTCTGTAAAAAATGTCTACTTAAATAGTATGGATTTTTATCATGGACTTGACTGCCTTTATAAAGTCAAGTATATTTTATAGAAAAGATGCATATAGATATTCTTTCTTGTACTCATTTGGTAGGAAATTACGCGTTCTTTAAATTTTATACTTAAAGAAAGGGTATTCTTTGGTTTTACAAAAATGTGAGATTGTGAGATTTTTTACGACTGTGAGGTGTCAATTCATGATACATTGCATTCTTCAATTAATTAATGCTGCCTATAAAATATACAGCATGATGCAGATCTAGTGCAAAAAATTATTGAATGCTTTGCGACCTCTGCCTCAGAGTGTAGGCAAAAACTTATTTTCTTAAACAGGAGGCACACAGCATGCTACTTGGAAACCTTGAATTCAGGTGTAGCATTCAGTAAAGTTCAAAATTATTCTGCCATTTAGAAACCTTTTGAAACCGTAAGATACCATTTCTTTAAGTATAAAATTTAAAGAACGCGTAATTTCCTACCAAACGAGTACAAGAAAGAATATTTACATGCACTTTTCTATAAAATATACTTGACTTTATAAAGGCAGTCAAATCTATGATAAAAATCCATACTATTTAAGTAGACATTTTTTGCAGAATCTATTTTCTTTAAGCGATCAGAAAGAAGCTCATTAAAGAGCCAGCATCGTGGCGTGACTTAAAAGACTTGAGATTAAACTGCACGATAATCAGTATTGCAATCCTACTTAATGTTAGTTTTCGAGTGATTACCAGTCTTTCTCCAATTGCGGCATCTTGTTTGCAACATTCGCCATACTGTAGTTAACAGATAGCCGCGAACATTCATTCAGCGGAGCTAGCGGCTGCAAAGGCTCAGAATGGAAGCCGGCGCCTGACTCACATTCTGGTGAAACGTCCCGTACGGGAAAGACGTGGATTGCTGTGGCCGGTAACGGTAGTGTACGTAAGAACATGCATACATGGAAAATCAGTAGTTAGGAACCTTTTTGTGTATAAAGCAACATACAGAATTTATGTCTCTTCTGTGTCAGTTGTGAACGAACGGCCGTAGGTAACAAGAAAAGCAGACAATCTCAAAGAGACTTTATAACGAAACCTGCAAAAAATAACAGAATTTATAAAATCAGAGAAGATGGTACAAAACTGTCAATCGATAGGATTCCTACCAAGTGTCAAAAATGCCGGCATGGATGTATAATGCGAAAAGAAGAATTGAAGCGGCGCATGGGCGAGTTTTTAAAACAAGCCGAGTTTTTAAGAATACACAGCCAATGATTAGGGCAATACTGTAAATAATGCGGGTATTTAGAAGAGGAATAAAGGTTAATGAATACGAAAAGGACATTGGATTGTGCCACGCAACAGCAGTTGTGTGGTATAAGTTGTGTCGAAATGTCCGCTCAGTAGAATTAATTAATAAAAACATGGACATTGTCGGACGAAGAGTTGAGGTGCACGATCCCGCGGGGAGGGTAGGGGGTGATGCAATAGGGTGAATTGAAGGGCATTGCTCTATCTAATGGCAGTGGCAGGGAAACCGACTAACAGACTAAGGACGTGTTTGTCATTTGGTGTCGTCAACGCATTAGCTCCCTTTACTAGAGGTTACTGCCACAAGCGCATAAAGCACGCGTCGTATGGTGAGTATGTACATGGTAGAAGCCACAGAACCGCGAAGCCAGGGTTTCATGGTGAGTATGGAAATGGTAGAAGGCAAACACCTGTAAGAAATAATAAATCAAACCAGGCCTACTGTAACGAACTTAGTAGCGAGCTGCGCCTTGTGAAGGTGGGTCTTTTACAGCAACATTTACCCTGAGGTCTTTTGGTGTTAAAACTCTGCACGCTTCCAGCTTTCGTCGCCAATCCGTGAAACCAAAGGGTCATTTGCTCAACCAACAAGAGATATCCGTCATTCGCCATCTACACTGAGTATGCAAGTACCCTGAATAAACGATCCGACAACTACAGACGAATGCAAAGGAAGTTTGACTAGAATTCACAGGTGGTAAGGCACTGCTACATGTGACTACTTGTTGGACTTTGGGTCGATCGAGACCGTAAGCTGATGTGATAACTACATAACACGCTAAGTGCAGGAGGTATGGTAGTCTGGCGTTCTGTTCAACTATTGTATTATCTAGCTTGCGCGAGCTTCAACGACCAGACGCACACAGAGGAAAAATTCAAATATGGCATCTTCCTAGCTAGGTAACCTCCACGACTATCTCACAGACTACCAGTTATCACATCCAGTAAATCTTTTATGTGAATAGCCAAAAGCAAATGACACCCAAAGCAGTGAGACCCTTCCTTATACGCGGTAGGCTAAAGGAACCCCACTGATAAACAGAAGTAAAATAATATCGCATCGTAGAACTGTCTTTAGAGGTCTTATAGGCCTTTGGCTTATAACAATAATAGCCTATGTTAACATTTTCAGTAACCCGGCTTTCCCTTTTATGCGTTAAATTCCGCCAATATCAGATTGAATTTCCATCAACAGGCATCAATTGACTAAGCAACAGGAGTTTGTGTTGATGAGTTGATTCTATTTAGCTCATTATAACAACCATAAGTGGCTTTAATTTAATATTATTTGGCCACTTACAACACAGTTAGGCATTCATTTAAAATCGTTAACCCAGAATCAGATGTTTAACCACAAATTCCCTAAGACACTTGCGCAGGGGAATAAATAGTTAGTCGATCCTAAAAGACAATTTTGCCAGCCGCACAAGCGGCGTTCCCCTTCGCTTGCCGTGGTGTTAAATCGCGGCCCGAATGGACCCTCGTCCAGATGCAAACTTCTTTGAACTTATTCTCTAATAGTTTTATACGATATCCTCCCATCTGCAGTTCAATTTTTATATTCTAATACGGAATCTGGTCTGAAGGTCGTAGTGGTTAGATTGGCCCTTAAGCTGTTGAGATACGAGTTTTAATACGGTGGTGCATATGGCTGGCTGTAGACAGTTAATAAATCAAATATTTCTCATGTGACTTTGTCGGTGGTCTCCCTGCAGCTGATATACTCTTTTTAAGAAATTAAATTGGGGAAGGTGGGGATAACAAAACATTTGCAACAGTACACGGCGTTTAGATTAATCTAAATTCCGTGGCTCAATAGGGCAGAATTTCAGATCAGTCAAATGGGCGAGAACTGTTACTAAGACATGTGGTTGAGACGGCAGCAATAAGAATACAGGCGAGGAAGTTGGAATTTAAACGATAATGGGGTTGGAACTAAGGTTACTGAAGGGTAAAAAAAGGAATATGCTGATTTATTTCACTGACTTCTGTCCTAGCAGTGCGAGGTCGATCACCTTATTCTACTGATTACACAGCTCTGGTTTTTAATTTCTGTATCTGTATAGCTTAGGAGATGTGTAATTGTAGCTAGAATTTGGACCTTTTGTCGTGTCATTGGATTCACAACGTGCGCAGTCCCCATCAGCAGCTTTGTAGTTGAGATTCACCCCCGTTTGTTTTTTGCTCTTAGTGACTAGTTTATTCATACTCAGCTATCATTGCTGCTTGACTGGCCTGGGCTGTTTTGTGATTGAGTTATTCGTTTTAAAACTTACAAAGAATTGTGGCTGGACACTCACCAATCGGTTACGGAACTTACCCATCCCGTTCGGCCTTGGGCCCACCAGCATCCGCACAGCGGCTAATATCATAGGCAGATGAAGACCAGCGACAAAGCCAAAAGAAACTGGCATGGTCATTTCTGGTTTAGTAGGTGGCATCAACTAGTCAGTCAATCCCAGGTAGTGCACCACCTTAGGCTCGAACCCGCAATTTGTTGATAAGAATACCAACGCTCTAATCCATTTAGCAACGGGCTCTTTGTCCGGCTGGTTTCAATCGGCAATATAAGCATTAATTAGTGGATTAGAACGTTGGAGTTCTAATCAACAGGTCACGAGTTTGCGCGTCGGATGTAGCACGAGCTGGGGTGGGTTTTTATTGGGCGATGATGAATAAGAAGCCAGAAATGGTCATACCAATATCTCTGTTCATTCTTACTTATCTAAGTCTGCATATAAAGGCTGTTTACAGTCGAAAAATCAGCCCTATAATTTAGGGGATCATTAAATCTGCAGGCTCTGCTTCCGTCGTCATGTTGATCTGTATGAATTTAAAAACAGTGATTTGAGTAATATGTTTTTTATTAGTGTAAAGCTACTACTAATAGTTTAAGTCACTGTGATTTTATGGCTCAATTACTATTAAAATTATGCGGATATTAAGATCCATTTGGGCGAGCCAGCTATCGGTTCATGAAATTGGCAAATTCTTATTTTGAAATTGCTTTTTAGCAGTACAGTCACCATATTTTTGTTCTAACTTCGGGATATTCCCAGTAAACTAATAAGAAATTGACAAATATTTTCAAGCATGCCCCGCACGTGCCCGTCGAAAATTTCAGTGCGTTAAGAGGCCATAGATCTGCTCTAACCGGAAGCTATTAGTCAGCTCGGCAGTTACGCCTACACAATGCTGTAGGTTAATAAGATGAGGTTTTCGTACTGTAACCTGAGGTTGCGGAACCGTGGATGTAAAATGTTTACACTGCGTCACGCCCACCCGGATCTGTTCTATTAAGTCGGGGTAGC